CCGTGAGCAAGTCAAGGGAAACTCCACCTCAGACTGCCTCTGACAACTGGGATTGGCCGACGGGCTGAGCCTTGCTTCTCCCCCCCTTGCAATGCCTTGGGTGAGACTTAAACTAAGCGCTTTTTTCTCGGGAATAGTTACTCCCTAATGTTTATAGCCAGGCTGTATTATTTATAACCTTTTCACGCGTTTTATATTTGCATGTGCTTTCTTGCAGACAGTCACTGTCACCGGCAATTCAAAACACCTATATACCTGTTGCACAAGTAGAACTGCACTGTTTAAGTAGCCAGTTGTCACAGTTTATCACTGAACACGACCACACGCGGCCGTGCCAGTTCATGAGCATGAGTGGACTGAAGGTGCAGACTGCTGTTAGTGTATCCAGGCTTAATATACATATTAAACGCGACTGGACTGGTAGTGGCAAATTGGACATCACTCAGAATTTAAACCTAGCCGCACCTAGCCTCTCACTTCAGTGAAGAGAGTTAGAACACAAGGGGGTTTATTTTCTGCCAAATTAACGCGACAGCATCCCAGGATCCCATTGCCTTCTTGGCAACCAGGGCACACTGCTGGCTCATGGTCAACCTGTCATCCACCAGCACACCCAAGTCCCGCTCTGCAGCAGGTCCGCCCCAAGCCTGTACTGGTGCATGGGGTTGTTCCTCCCCAGGTGCAGGACCCTGCACTTGCCCTTGTTGAACCTCATCAGGTTCCTCTCTGCCCAACTTTCCAGCCTGTCCAGGTCTTGCTGAATGGCAGCACAGCCTGCTAGTGTATCTACCACTCCTCCCAGTTTTGTGTCATCAGCAAACTTGCTGAGGGTACACTCTAACTCTTCATCCAGGTCACTGATGAAGAAGTTGAACAAGACTGGGCCAAGTACTGACCCCTGGGGGACACCACTAGTTACAGGCCTCCAACTACGACCTAGCTCAGTGAAAGAGACAGAAACAAACATATTTCAGGTTGAGCAACCTAGAATTCACAGGAAAGAGAAATTACGGAGAAAACTGAAAAGACAATGAAAAAAACAAAATATACATTTCTAGAAAGACGTGCCATATCATCAACAGTAATATCACATGCTTATATTTAATAAATGCTCAAGGATTGTTAGTTGTCAAATGGGGCCATCCATGCTCACATTCTATCTTCAACACATATATCTGTGGGCATCAATAGGCAACTTCATACAAAAATACTCACTTGCTGGTCAAGCAAGGTAACTGCATACTCAGGCAGGTACTGATGTACCTCTGTAGCATATATATGTATTTATGTATATATACAGAATCACAGAATGGTAGGGGTTGGAAGGGACCTCTGTGGGTCATCTAGTCCAACTCTCCTGCCGAAGCAGGGTCACCTACAGCAGGCTACACAGGACCTTGTCCAGGCGGGTCTTGAATACACAGAGATATACATAAATATATACATAATTATATTTATGTCTATATGCTATTATGTTAGTTAATAATTACATAGTACGTACATATATAGTCATATACAGGTGTATATATAAATATAAATGTGTGTGTATATATAGAAATGTATACATACATAGATATGTGTATATATTCACCCATATATACTATACACAAATTCACATACATTTTGACATGTGAAGAGGTATAAATTATACATATATGCATCATATAGATATATATCTATGTACCTGTATATACCCGGTGTACATATATATGTATAAATATATACATATCTATATACAGGATGATATTTGAAGATATACAGCAGATTATATATGAATACATATATTCTATAAAGATATGTAATAGATTATATATTTGTATATCTACCTATATATACCTACAGATATATATAGGTCTACATGTAGAGAGGAGTCCCTTTTTACGCATTTATTCACTTTAAAAATATGGTCTCAGATAATCTTCTAATACTGAGTGAATTTCTACAGTATTTCCTTCTTGTGATTATTAACTTGCGTGCCGTTAACATATACACACAAGGTATAACAATGCATCTAATTCTTAATATAGTTGGTTGAAGGACAGATGCCTTTGGAAGATAGTTTAAACCAGAGCAATTCCAAGAGTGGTCCATGGACTGAATCTGACACACCCAGTCCATGCCCAGTCTCAGGTGTGACTAGGACAGAGGAAGAACCAATCCTATTACATCTGTACCTGGTTGCCATCCCTATGAACCATTAATCTCACCTGTCTTACTACACCCCTGTGATCACTGCTCCCACAGTACCTTCAACTGCCCCACAGCCTCCTCAACATCTTTCCTTTGTTCCCTAAGAAGCAGCTGAGAAAAAGCAGGATGTGCTGATGCTGATGCTGATGCCAAGCAACTTTTGTGCTGCTTTGAATTGCACTGATTTTGCAGGAACTTGGTATCTTAGAAATTTCTACCCTTCTGTTGACCAGTTCAAAATTTGTTAGGGGGAGATTCACAGATAGCATACATTTATATAAGCACCGTTTCTTCAGCCTAGGAAAACCAGGTTAAAAACTGTGTTGTGATGCATATGGCCAGCGGAACCTCAGTGCTGTTTCACAGGAGTCTGCGAAAATGGTAATAATTACAACTACAACAATAAAAAGTATACTCTGAGGATGTCACATTTAGAATCTTTAATTAGAAAACAGTATGTAGGTCACAGACAGTTTTGAGTTCAGGAAACGTCATCTAAAAACTAGCTTAGCTCAAAAATACCTCTTACATGTGAAAGGATCACAGCACAATCAGTATGACTTTAAAGACTGAACCATTTCTTTTCCAACAATATTTCCATTACCAGGCAGATTGGAGTGTTTTTATGGACCTTGTGAAAAGCCAATACTCTCTCTCATTTTTAATCCTCATTTGCAGAGATGATTTTTTGCTATAAGACAAGTCACGCTAATTAAGGTAACTTTACAGGTGAGGTAAACTGTAGACCACGTGTTTTATTTCAGCCTCTCTAAAAAGGGGGAAATACCAAAAAAAAAGGAAACCCATCACATCCTCAAGAATTTTTCAGAGACCTGATTCAGGAGCTGTTCCTTCTGGCTAGCTAGGCTACTTTAAGAATAAATACAAGACTACAAGCTGACTTTGAGAGACGTTTGTAAGACAAAATTACTTAAAATGCAGAAACTTGTTTCCTCCTACGTATTTTACCTTGAAAAGATTTCCTTCAGGATCCATCACCTCACAAATAGTGCTGGAAGTGTGTTTCATAATGTATCTCCCTACTTGTTTCTCTTCTTTCTTGTTGATGAAATTGTAAACTTCATGGGTATAAACTGCTGAGCAATCTTCATCAATGAAGAGTGCACCTGTCTTGATGGGTAAAACCTATCACAGTAAGAAGGGAAGAGGTTCAGTCCTGAAAGGCGAAACCTTCAGTTTAGAGGTTCCATGAAAATGGAGAACAGATACAAATCAAGAGGAGAACTCTCAGACCTTTACTACTGAATCACCCAGTTTTGAGGGACTAGAGGGAGAGAAAGACGGAAGATGAGGTGCAAGGAATTAGGCTGACGTAAGTCTGTAATATTTTCTTTAACTTCAGCAAATTTAAGCTTGTGATTTAAATATGCTATACAGTTGTGAGGAAATATAGAATCATAGAATATCTGGAAGGCACCCATAAGGATCATCGAGTCCAACTCCCTTCTCCTCATAGGACTAACTAAAGCTAAACCATATGACTGAGAGTGTTGTCCAGATGCTCCTTGAACTCTGATAGCCTTCATTCTGTGACCACTTCCCTATGGAGCTTGTCCTAGTGACTGACCACCATCTCAATGAAGAACCTTTTCCTAATGTCTAATATACACTTCTTCTCACACAGCTTCATTCCATTTCGTTGTGTCCCACTTCTGGTCACCAGAGAGAGAAGGTCAACATGTCCTCCTCCACTGCTCTCCTTGAAGAAATTGTAGACTGTGATGAGGTGACCCCTCAGCCTTCTCTTCTCCAAGCTGAACAAACCAAATCACCTCAGCCGCTCCTCGTAAGTCTTGCCCTCAAGACCTTTCACCATCTTGGTTGCCCTCCTCTGGACACACTAATAGTCTGATGCCCTTATATTGAGGTGTGCAAAACTGCACACAGTGCTTGAGGTGGGGCCACACCAGTGCAGTGTAGAGTGGGACAATCACCTCCCTTAACCAGCTAGCGATGCTGTGTTTGATGCACACCAGGACACAGCTGACACTTTTTGCCACCATTGCACACTGTTGACTCATATTCAACTTGTCATCCATGCAAACCTCTACATCTCTTTCTGTGGGGCTGCTCTCCAGCCTCTCGTCCCCCAGTTCGTACATATAACCAGGATTAGCCTGTCTCAGGTGGAGAATCCAGCACTTACTCTTGTTAAATTTCACTCAGTTGGTGATTGTCCAGCTCTCTTGTCTATACAGATCTCTCCGTAAGGCCTCTCTACCCTCAAGGGAGTCCACAGCTCCTCCTAGTTTAGTATCATCGTCAAACTTCATGTACATTTGATTCATGCACCCAGATAAGTTATAAAAACATTAAAGAGCACTGCCACTAAAATTGAGCCCTGGGCAACCCCACTGGTGACTGGCCACCAGCCTGATGTAATCCCATTTATTATAACTCTTTGAGCCCAACCTGTCAGCCAACTGCTCACCCAACGTATTATGGATTTGTCCAGCTGTGTGCTGGACATTTTGTCCAGAAGGATACTGTGAGGAACAGTATCAAAAGCTTTGCTAAAATACGCCCCCCCC